TCTGTTTATGCCATTGTCAAGCTCCAGTAGACATTCCTGCCATCTTCCATGGCAGTGAAGAAACAAAGTATGTAATTTTACAGTGCTAACTCTAGAGAATTATAAGGTGGGATTCACCTGTTAGGTGGATTCCTCTGGAGAAGAGAATGACATTCAGGACAAATGGAACTTTTTATCCTTCTTATATATTCTGAGCATGCTTTCTAGAAATGTCAAGAGAATAGTAGAATGAAATTTCCAAGGATTTCTGTAATGCAGGAACCAGAAAACATAATTTAATTCAGTGGCATTTCCTTACTCTTTTTCTTTCATAAAATCACAGAGTGGTTTGGTCAGAAGGGACCTTTAAAGATTATCTACTGCAACCCCCCTGTCATGGGCAAGGATATCTTTCACTTGATCAGGTTGCTCAAAGCTTCATCTAAGCTGACCTTGAACACTTTGAAGGATAGGGCATGCACAACTTCTCTGGGCAACTTGTTCCAGTGTCTCACCATCCTCACTGTAAAAATTTTCTTTCTATTTTTCAATCTAAACTTACCCTCTTTCAAGTTTAACACTATAGCCCCTTGTCCTGTCAGTACAGAACCTGGTAAAAAAATCTTTCTCCACAATTCTCCTAAGCCATATGGAAAGGCTACAATAAAGTCTCCCCAGAGCCTTCTCTTCGCTATGCTAAACAACCCAACGTTCTCAGCCTGTCTTCATATGAGAGATGTTTCAGATCTCTGACTCTTTATATGGCCCTCATCTGGAACTGGTCTAACAGTACTTCAGGTGGTGTCTTGGAAGAGTTGAGTAGAGGGGGAAGAATCATCTCCCTCATGCTGCTGGCCACACTTTTTTGTAGCCCAGAACGTAATTGGCTTTTTGGGCTGAAGGAGCACATTGACAGCTCATGTCCAATTTTTCATCCATCAGTACCCCCATGTCCATCTCTGCAGGGCTGCTCTCTATCTATTCATCCCTCAGTGTGTATTGATATTAGGGGTTGCCCTGACCCAGACGCAGGACCTGTATTTTGCCTCATTGAACTTCATGAGGTTCACATGGGCCCACTCTTCAATACTGTAAAGGTCTGTCTGGATGACATCCCTTCCCTCCAGTGAATCAACTGTACTACTCACCTTGGTGTCATCTGCAGACTTGCTGAGACATGCACTCAATCTCACTGTTGATACCATTTTCGAAGATCATAAATACTATCGGTCCCAGCACAGACCTTTGGGGCATACAACTTGTTACTGGTTTCTACTTAGACATTGAGTATAATTCTTTGAATGTGGCCATCCAGCCAATTCCATATCCTTTTAACAGCCCATCTGTCTATCACGTATCTCTCCAATTTAGTGGTCAGAATGTTTGGGGGGGATCATACCAAAGGCCTTACAGAAGTCTACATAGATAACATCCATAGGTCTCCTCTTTGCTACTGGTGCAGTTACTTCACTGTGGAAAGTCATTAGATTAGTCAAATGACTAATAATCCACAGTAGAGTAAGGAATAAGCACTGAGCATATCAGCACAGCTGGAATTCCTCTATAGACGGAATGGGGATAAATTGAGCCTGCAGGCAGGGTCCTACCCAGATGAATAGAATTGCTTCTTTCCAGAACCCTTAATAATTTGAATTGGTATTACCTCTCAGGCATTTGCATTGATGGATCCTATGATATCACTGCTAAAAAATGCATTTACATCTTAGTCATTATGCTGTCTGACCTTTGTTCCTACTGAAATCTTTATTCTCTGTTTCAGCATAGTGCTGTTAAGCAGTCCTTTTATCATTATTGTTTTCACCCAAAAATATGTTTTAATGATTACCTTTTGAAGAGACATCTGAACAGACACTCATTCCCACCCTCAGAGCAGATGTTTCACCTCCTGATTCAATTGTTCATTTATTGGTTAATGGTTTAGGTTTCCAAGCAAAAATGAATGTGTTCTTCCTGAACTTATTTTAAGATTAACCGCTCAGTTGATATTAAACTTAAATTTCCTGTCCTCTGTCCACCACCACTCCTGCATCCCTTGTAGTCTGAACTATTTTCCAAGGGGTGAAACCAGACAATCACCTATTGCCCTCATCCACTTCTAAACTGCCCTGTGACTCTTGCAAGTTCAAGGACACACTTTCACTTGTGGTGGCCCATCTGTCTAAAACTTATTTCCTCTTTTCTCTAAGCCAATGAATCATTTCTTTAAAACTCACCTTCAAACCTCCCTGCTCTCTTTAACCTATGATTCACAACCTCCAGAAAACATTTTTTGAGAGATCCTTTATGAAGCATACACAGTAAAAAGGAAATGTATTGTAGTCTTGTTGAGGAAAGCTATACTTGAGGTACTAATGTGACTGTGGATTAAGGGTCCTATAGGGTCCACTCAAGATAGATTGACCCTTGCAGAATCTATTGAAGTCTAATTTTTCACATCCACTCACCTGAAAACCTCATAGCTACACCCTTGCAGGTTTATAGGCTGGTATCTTTCTTCTTGCCTTTGAATTCTGATGTCTGATGACACCACTGAGTTTTCCACAGCTTCAACAATGCACCTATTCTGGGCCCAGTAGAACTGAAGATATGGATGCAGTTCCCTTATCTCTCCCTCACATGACCAAGTGGCCAGTGCTATTTCCCTTCTCTTCAAAGAGAGCAGCAGTAGAAATTAAAACATCACAGAACCTGTATGTTGATCTAGCTTAACGAAGTTTCTTCATTGTTTTCTTATCTGATCAGTCTATGTGTCAGATTCAGGTGTCTATTATAAAACCAGAGCAAGAGAAACAATTTGAGCTTAGGTTGATTCTATCCAACTGAATGAGTAGATGCAGGGAGGCAAACTCACAAGGCCAGATGGGATACACAGTGAGGAGGGGCTCTAAGAAAAGACATATCTTAAAATTAGTACGATGGTGTGGCACAAACAGTACCATCCAGAAATCAGTGTGAGTGGTACCTATTTTTAAGGCTGGTATTCCTTCCCATTCACAATGCACTCATCGTTGTAACAGGTAATTTTCTGTTCTCTTATTGAAAAGGCCATTTGAATCTGTTTTTCAGCTCAGCTATAACTTTCATGCTCATGCCTTGGAATAGTCTTAGCATGGAACTTTTTACTCTTTTTATTTAACTGACACTTGCTTAGATTTTGGGGGGTTTTCAGATTTATTTTTTTTTTTTTTTAATTTTCAAGCCTTTTGTCCTGGTCAAAGCACTAGAAATGGAAGAAGAAAACTCGAGGTCACATTCATGTGATTCCCAGAATTGTGACTTGAAGGAAATACTGAATAGTTATGGCTTGCAATATATTTTTGAATTTTGTTATTATATATTTTGAGTATATTAAATTGTGTGCATGCATAAAGATATTTTACATGCAGACACACTTCTTCTGCATACAGGAAATCACAGAGATAGAAACACAGAAACAAATGTTAATGCATTACTGTTAGCATCCCATTACTGCAATATGGATGGTAGCACAGGGGTACAAGAAAAACCTTTCTATCACCTGAGTGATCAGTGGTACATGAGGGAAAAGTGTAAGAGGAAACAGACTTTGCAGAAGTGGGTACAGAGTCAGTGGAGTTATTTTCAATTGACATGAAAATATGGTTGTGTACAGGCAAATCTTTTTGACTGCTGTCTGCCTCTGAAAAGTATACAAGCTTTAACTGAATTAGTAGTCAGTTCTGATAGAAATATTGTTATGCAAATCTATTTCTAACAAAACAAGTTCTGAACGATGGCTTTCAGATTTGTTAGTTTGTCTTTATAGACATATAAATGGGTAAAAAAACAAACCCAGAGTATGAAATGAGGATTTTATTAAAACTGTATTCTACCAGAGTACAGCAGTACTGAGTCTGTGTCAGAGGGGTAGCTGAATAAGGAAAAGAAATAGATTAAAAATATAAAGGTCCAAATCCTTACTTTTATTCTGGAGCCCTCAGTTCAAAACCGTAAAACCTGCATTTCTTACCATATTCTCATACTTCATTTTCAACTTGGGCTATAATTCCTAGGAGGGATATACATAACAGATACAACTCCAGCAACGATGGTTAATAATGATGAGTAACTAGAATAAAACATGGGTCTGTTGTGGATATCCACTGTATCTAGGAAAGTATAAATGAAATCTATTCTAGCTCTAAATTCCTGTAATTCTGAGGTTGCTGTAATTCTTTAAACTGACTTCTTGAAAGTTCATATTACCATGCAGTTTTTGATCACATTGACTTTCAACTTCTGTAGGTTTTTACCATTTTATTATAATAGGTGTCTCAGAAGCATAATGAGTAAATGTAAAATGGCTCTGGTTTTTGTTGAGATAGAGTTAATTTTCCTCCTAGTAGCTGCCATAGTGCTGTGTTTTAGATTTAGCATGAGAATAATGTGATAACACACTGATGTTTGGGTTGATGCTATATGGTGCTTATACTAAGTTAAGGACTTTTCAGCTTCCCATGCTCTGCAGTGAGGAAGTGCACAAGAAGCTAGGAGAGAGCATAGCTGCAACAGCTGACCCAGACTGGCCAAAGGGACATTCCATACCATATTACATCATGCTCAATATATAAAGTAGGGAGAGTTGCCTGAGGCTTGGGGAGGGGTGGAGAAGGAGAGGGCTGTTGGTAGCTGTTCAGGGACTGGGTTAGCATTGGTTGGTGAGTGGTGAGCAGTCGCGTCACTTATTTTTCCTGGGTATTGTTTCTCTCTCTCTTTTTGTAGTTTTCATTTCCATCACAATATCTTATTTAATTTTATTTTATTCATTAAACTGTTCTTGTCTCATCCCACAGGTTTGCTACTTATACCCTAGTGATTCCCTCTCCCAGCCCACCATGGGTGGCTGTGTGGGGCTTGAAAGGACTACAGAAGAAAGTTAAACTAAAATAATATTTCTATTTGACTTATAATAAATAGAGTTTGGAAATTATTGGGTTTTTTTACATGCACATCAAAATAAGTAAAGAAAATTAAATACTCACTCCTGTTATGTAACGAGGTCTATACTGGATGGTTCCAAATAAGCCAAGTATGACTATAATAATGTGTATAAAATTTGCCAGGATGGGTGCCCACTGATAACCAAGGAAGTCAAATATCTGCCTCTCGAGCACAGAAACCTGTGATTAAAAAACAAAAGCATAAATAGATTAGAACAAAACAGAAAACATTTATTAGGGCATTTCCCCTTCCCATACCCAAGATAATTGTCCAGAGTTAAAAAAATTGCTTCAGATAGCAGTAAAATGAAATTAGTTTGCAGTCTTTCAACTTCTTGTTTTAATGAAAGCTGCATTTCTCACTGACAGTTTACTGAGTTATATTCAGTTAGCTAAAATATTCATGTGGGCAATTCTACCAAGATACTAAACTGTTCACTATGATGGTATGTTTTCAGGAAGAGAAACACAAATAATTTCACTTTATACACCAGCAAATGCTATAACATTCAAGAGTATTGGTGCTGAAAATAAGTGGCAGGCTTATGTCATCTCAGCTACTTTGCTTCCATTTGCAAACCCTGTCCTTCAGCCCAATCCTGTCTCTTTGCTTCCATTATTTCCCTACCTTTTAATTTTTTCTCTTCCCTCTATTGCCAGCTGTCCTGCCAGTGAACTTTTACCTGCATGCAACCATTTGACCTGATTCTACTGATAATGACTATAGTTTACCTCCTCCCACTATCTCAAACATCAGCTAAAGTGTAAACTGTTCCTCAAGATACTTAATTTTAAAAAGTGAATTAAGGGACAATCTTGTGCTGTTGATGACTGTTTTCAAGCAATACCATTCCAAGAAGGTAGATTAGAAATTAGAAAAACTACATTTCTAACAGTACCAGTAGAACTAATTCCAGAATTCAATTAGTAAGTGTCCCTTAGCTGTTGCTCAGACTATATATGAAAATACAGCACTGCACCCTAACCCATAGGCAGAATGGCATATTTTGATAAAAATAATATTGATGGATGTGAATATTAGAAAGCAATGTGAAGCGAATTTAGATAAAAAGGGTAAGGAGTTTCTTTGACACCATTCCAACATTTCACTAAGTGGAATGGTGAAGGGATGAGTTTCATGTGAATAATAAAAATAAAAAAATACTAATAATAATGACAACAACAATGATGCCAACACCAGACACACAAATTAATGAAAGAAAAAACAGGCTATTTCTTTATAAAGTTTAATTAAAAGGCAGGTGACTATTTACTCAGTTTATATTATGCTCTGGTTAATTGAATTAGGTGTATCTGCCACACACTTCATTCATTTAAAAAACAACACCTTTTGAGATCAAGTACTAAATGAATAATTAACTACTGTTCACCACTGTTCCTGCATGATATAGCTATGGGAGAGCTTTTAAATTTTCATGCTGCAGTCCACTACCACACCAACAATTTCTTTTTGAAATTAAGTAAGAAAACTCATCATTAAAAAGACAGCCTACACTTACACCAGCATCGCAAATGTAAAGAGCGTTAATTATACAGCACTTACTGGCATATGTTGAACTTTAAGATAGGAATTCTCAAAATAACCCTGGGGAAGTTTGTCAGACATATCATTTTGAATCTGAAAGTTCAGGGTTTCATGTCAACCACTGAATTCCTTTGTACAACAAAGATTCCTTTGCATCCAGCTTCTAGCTAGTCTTGGTATTTTGCCTATATTTTTATTTTACAGATTTATTGACAGGAAGAGATTCTGGTCCTACGTCCAAGGACCATTCTAGACCTACATCCAAGATTTAATGAACCAATTTGTGCTATCCTACAACTCTCACTAGTAAAACAGCATCCCAAGATGCTGTTGCCAGAAGAGGTCCCAGAATCCCAAGACATAATATTCTAATGGTGACAAGGTGCTGAAGAAAGAAAAGGAAGGTTAAGTTGTATTAGGAACTTCATGAAATCTGCCTGTGCGTCTATGTTTATCATTAAGAAATATTTTCTTTACTACTAACATAGCAATCTATATAAAAAGACAAACGTGTGGCAGAAAGTGTTATATAGGTCTGTGTGAAGTCTATTAGGGGTATCTGCAGAAGACCTGCTACACCTTAAGTGTTGTTTAACAGATAACAAAGCGAAAATGCTCACTCTGAACACAGAGCTGTTATTTTCATCAGCTGAACAAAGAGTAAATGACATTAGCAAAGCAGTAGCAAAAAGAGTCTAGACTGTACGAGCGTCTAGTATAGTAACAGTAGGGATTTCAGCAAGCAAAACAATACAAGGGATGACGCAAATCACTCAACCAGTAGGAAATCATAGTTAAGTATGCCAATTATAGAGGAAAATTGCAGCACGGTAGTTAATTATATAAAAAAGTAAAAAACCTAATATTACTGCTCCAACTTTAGGTTAAAAGTAAACTACACTATGATGCATCAAGCATGCTTTGTTTTGTTTTGCAGGGGTTTTTTCATGGTGAAAGATGCAGTAGTTTTGCTGAGACTTGTTTATGATGCTGTGTTGGAGAAATGGCTATTCCGTGTGAATCTTCACTTCTCACAGGACAATGTACTTCTTTTTCTTTTTGATGACTAACAATTTCATCAGCAGCACATAACCGCTCCCTCAGATTTTGTGGCCACGTTGAATTTTCCAGTGGGAGGACCTACCGGAAAACATGCCTTGCAAGGAACTGGGTAAACGTCAGCTGTGCAGAACAAGGAGACGTGTCTGCACCACCTCTGTCCCTGCGTATCCACCTCATATTTGCCAAAGGCAGACTTGCTATTAGACTTTCTCCTGTCACTCCAAGGAATCAGCAGTGTGCGGGGACTGTTGGATATTCAAAAGGGCAGTATTATGGTAGGCTGTGCAGAGAAAATATGTTGCAAAAATGCAGATGCTGTTCCTTAGAAGATCACGCTACTACAGCAAGGTGCATCACATATTTGTCAAATGTAAAATATAGGACAGAACTAGATCTTTATTCCCACATCCTGAAGAGATGAAGGTGGAGAAAAAATAAAAACCCACAAACAAACAGAAAAAAATATGGATTTAACTATATGCAGTTACTCAAGAAATATCTCATTGGGTCTTTGTTTTTAAAAAGGGAAAAGTAGGACCAAGAACCAACACAATCTATTAAAAACAGTATCATGTAGCTTCCTCCTCTTCCACAGATGCCAGAATCATAAGGGATTTCTTTACATAGCAAGAGAAAATATAGACCTGATTTTGAAAGATTTTTTTTTCCCTTTACTGTAAAACTTAAAATTTTTGGTTAAACCATTGCACTTTTTTCACCAGATTTTATCTGTTAGCTGTTTAATGATGTTTCAATGACATTACAGAAAGAAAAAGACTGACAAATACAGGTTCATCTTTAAAGTCTAGGAATAGATAACTAATTGCCCATTTTCTTCCTTCTTCTACTGGAAACAAGAGTTTAAAATGAGAATAGGAAAGAGGAAAAATGGATATGTTGGATAAAAAAAAAGCTTACCATGGTAAGAAAAGAAAAAAATGTTTTAATTAAACTGAAGCAAAAACGTAGCGTTATGTAGTCAGTTCTTAATGTTAGAAAATAAACATCCACCACATCGTCTTCTTAGGCTTCCAAATAATAAAATATCACAAACAGATTATCTTAGGTAATCACTGATAAAATTACAGAAGTTAAGTGTAATTATAGGGAACCATTTTTACCAATTTATTACCTTTTCCAGACTTCTGCTAACTGTTTTAAAAATAAATGCCAAATAAAATCAGCCTGTATAGTGTCAAGTTGGAATAGCTCAAACTATTTCCAGATTCTTGTCAGAGGCTGGTTGTTCACAGGTTAACAGTGTTACTGACCTTGAGGGATCTAAGAATTGAATTTCCAGAGGATAAAGAAAACCATTTTGAGATGATTCTTAAAGTATATGATTGAACTAAAATTTCAGACAGTAACCACAAAGGAGAAACCAGTCAAAAGATGATTTATAACACAAATTCCAAAATGGAAAATGACAAAGTGCCTTTCCTCGGAAAGCTCCTTGAGAAGAGACTCAACCACAAATACTTCACAATGATACAGAATCAAAACTTTGCACTGATTCAAATTAAAGCGCACACAGGCACACACATAGGAGTGGGTATATAAGGCCCTCGCCACCCAGAGCCCTTGGACAGCGCACACAGCACAGAGGGGCCTAGTCTACTGGGGCCTGGGACAGGGTCACACTCAACTGATGGGCTCACCAGCCGAGTCATGGTAACAGGCTCTCAGCTCACTCCCAGGGAAGAAGAGAGTATTAGCTTAAATCACAGTGAAGGAGGATTAAGCAACCGTGGTACATGGCATGACTGGTGCAAGCTAAGAATGAGCTACAGAAATTAAGCTCTAATCAGTAACTCATTAAGTCCCCTCAGCTTAATTGTGCTGCATCAGATGCCCACAGCTTCTAATAATTTGCTTCGGGTTTTAAATTAGAGAGTTTTTTAAGGACTTTTGGTTCTTGCTTCTATGGCATAGGAAATTAAAAAGAGCCCAAATAAATACAAGTATTTTGGGACCACAGCTTATGAAAGAATACTACTACTAAAGCCTACCTGCATCACATACAACATGACCAGCTAACCCTCCCACTTCTATCTTTTTGAGAATGTATGCATATATTTTTGCCATTCCTTAGAGAGGTTCATTTAATTTTTCATCAAAATTTCAGATAGTATCCTGAGATAGAGCGCCCAGTTACTCAATGAACTCTCCACAGTTACCCAGCAGAAAAACAGAATAATATTCTGAAAGTCAAATCCATACAAAATACGCCTAGACATCTGCAAGTGTTCATGGGAGTCAAGTCCTTTACTGCAAGACACCAGGGAAAGAAAAAAATATTTGTTTGGTAAGAAGAAAGGGAGACCATAATGAAGTTCCGTGAACAGCTGTGGACACAATGGTGTTCTCAGCACATTTAATGAAATGTATTGCAAGTACAGGTAATTCAGGTTAAAATCAAGAAGGAATTAGTTTCCACTTGTCTGTTGGTTCCTTAAAGGAATCATATATATAATGCTAAGCCTCTGTCCTTAATCCTTTTGATGCTGCTGAGTGAAGGAACAGGCCTTCACCGCACTTGATAAGAAGGTAATCACAGTTTTTAAAAATCCTG